AAAGTTGTTGAGTGTTTGAAGAAAGAATTTGAAATGAAAGATATTGGTAAGACAAAATTGTGTCTTGGCCTTCAGATTGAACATTTGACAAATGGAATATTTATCCATAAATCAACATATACTGAACAGATTTTGAAGCAATTTTACATGGATAAATCACACCCATTGAGTACCCCGATGGTTGTGAGATATCTTGATATAAATAAAGATCTATTCTGACCTCAAGAAAAGGATGAAGAGCTTCTTGGTGATGAAACTTCATATCTCAATGCTATTGGGGCACTAATGTACCTTGTCAATAATATCATTATGAACTAACACTACTGATACTGCCTATTTGGCATACGAGGTTGAATACAAGGAGAGTCCAAGTCCACGAGAGAAATGTGTTAATTATGGTAAGGTTTCCTTACATTAGTTGGACTGATACAAGAAAACGTTTGATGGAATTTAGAGCATACGAGTTGTACCCTATATATTGCAAAAAGGACAAATTTGCAGGTACTGATCTGCAAAATTACAAGGCAAGAATGAGCAAGAGGGAGAAGAACTTGACTCGAGTAATCTAAGGTTGTTACATAGCGATAGCTGGATGTCAATGGTAGTTCTTATAATAGGGGTTTTTACTGAATTGTAATAGCTTCTATTTCGTTGTTCAAAGGTTAGTGATTATTGTGAGATTTGTAACAAAAAGCATGTTTGACTTCTTGAGTTCGAGGTACTATAGTTAGTCCATTAGACTATTGAGTTGTAATCTAAAATATTGCTCTTAAGAAGGTAGTGGAGTTTGGTGGTTGAAAGGTCGTGACCTTTTTTTTTCACTCCCTTGAGTAATCAGTTTTCCATGATAAATTCATGTCACGTTTCATTTTACTGTTTACCATTTACTCTCTGAACCAGATCCAAAGATAGGTAATAGGATAACTAGTTCTTTCATTACATGTAAAAAGTGAAATGAAAGTCAAATCAAGTAAAAGGAGAGCAAGTTGTTTGAGACAATTGAAGTCAAGATTACAATGTAATAAGAGCATAATATGCATCTGTAACTTATATGGATTGAAAAGAAAAGAGGAAAAGAAAATGTAAAGAAAAGAAAATAATTCCAAGTTGAGACAGGCGAATGTAGAATTTGAAGTTACAATTACATAATTTCAATGTTTAGAAGAAAATAAATGGGTTTTATATCGTATTCACCATAATGAGAGCTTTGGCTTGATGGTTTTGAGCGGATCTTTAGTTAAAAGAGATTTGGATTCAATTATACTAAATCACCATTTTAAAAACAAATAGTAATAACGCTTCGTTTAAATATTTGCCAAGAAAATGTCGTAATCACAACCTTCCATTGACATTAAGAAGGGTTGTTTGAACTAGTTACGATAAGATAAGTTATGCTCCCCATAGTAGAGAGAATGAGTCAGAATGGGTTAAACATTTGAGTTTTTATACAAACTGGATATTTAAAATTAGGAAGGGAAAAGGGTCTGAAAAATAATCCAACTTTGGCTGAAATTGCTGTTACAATACCAAACTTTGGAAAAGACCTTTTATCCCCTGTACTATTTAATAGTGTTGTAGACACATAAATTGTATTGGATCAAATTCATACAAAATTTGAATTAAATCCACGTTCATTTGGGTTGAATGATTAATTTGGGCTTTAAAAATAAATAAGTCCATCTTATTAAATTCAAATCCAAGGCCCATTTCACATTGAAGCCCAAACTCATGCCATGTGTCACTGTGACTAGGCATCCAAGACCAACAAGGTGACGCCACGTGTCCAAATGAGGTTTTAGTCCCAATCAAATGCAAGAATCAATCACAATCCGCCAAGTGTCAAAATGACATCCTTTGGCCAATCACAAGCAACCTTGTCCACCCCTTACAACTATAAATAGGGGATGGACATGACATTCTAGGGGGCATCAAGAAAACTCTTCAACAAGCATTCTGCAATTGGAGGAAGCTACACCATCAACTACATAGCTCTTCAAAGGAGTCATCAACGGAGTTCTTCCTAGAGATCGACTTGAAACGACGAAGCGCTTTCCGACATTCTCGGAGATCGACAACATCTCAAGGAGGTCTACATCATCCAATGTTTCGATAAATATGCTACTGAAGGCCTTCGAATCTTGGAGAATCTTAGGAGAGAGAATCAAGAGAACAACATAATTGTACTCACAACGATTCATCAATAAAATAACATTTTCTTTTATTATTTTGCTTGCAATTGATTTTCAGCGCTTAAGGAAATTTGTTGCGAACAAATTTGGCACGCCCAATGGGACCGATTCTGCTCTTCATCTCTTTCTCTTGCAAATCAGAAACTATAAAGGCAACTACTGCAATGGCCTTCAGAAAGAGTAGTGATTTTCACACAAGGACTCTACTGATGTCGTATCTGCTGATCTCAGTCATGTTGGCCCGATTACTCGGTGTAAGTTCAAGAACAGTGGGCTAGATGGATTTGAATACTTCACTTCTTTGGAGGCGATGAAAAACAACAATTCTCATACGATGGTCGTAAGTGCAACACCTAGGGGCAATCTTGCGTCTGTGTTCTTTGGAGAATTTTCTCAAATTGGCTCCAATTTTGGTGAATCTGAAGATTCAATGGATTCTCCAACTTCAATAAATGTCAATGCTTTGATGGCTGACTCAACTGACATGGACAAGAAGTTTGCGATGATGGATCAAACTATTGAGACCTTGAAGAAATCTGTTGATGACAAAAATCTTCATATTTATCAACTTATGAACAAGTTGGAGGCCTTCACACCTGGAGAGTCAAGTCATGTCCCCACTTGCCCATCTGGTTTTGATCAACAAAACAAGGACGTTGAGGAATCTCTAGGAAAGTCAAAATTTCAAAAGGAGAAACAATCTGCTTCAGTTGCTGCACTATCTGTCCAACAGTTGCAAGACATGTTAATGAACACTATCAGGGCTCAATATGGTGGAACACCACAAAGTTCTTTGTATTAATCTAAGCCATATACCAGACGGATTGATTGTCTATCAATGCCAACAAACTATCAACCACCAAAGCTACAACAATTTGATGGCAAGGGGAACCCGAGGCAACATATCGCTCACTTTGTTGAAACTTGTAGCAATGCTGGAACACATGGTGACCTTTTGGTAAAACAGTTTGTTCGTTCGCTGAAAGGGAATGCATCGACTGGTATATTGACCTGGAACACGAGTCCATTGATAGTTGAGAGCAGCTCGAGAAGGAATTCCTCAATCGTTTCTACAGTAATCGCCGAACTGTAAGCATGATAGAGTTGACCGGTACTAAGCAAAGAAAGGATGAGCCTGTGGTGGATTACATCAATCGTTGGAGATCGTTGAGTCTGGACTGCGAACTTTCTGAAATATCTGCTGTGGAAATGTGCATTCAGGGTATGTATTGGGGACTTCTATACATACTACAAGGAATCAAACCGCGAACTTCTGAGGAACTTGCTACACGAGCTCATGACATAGAGTTGAGCATCGCAAGTCATGGGAAGGCATCTCCTTTTGCTGATCTGACAAAGGAAAAGAAGGAGTTCAAGAAAGGTATGACCTCAAAGATCCAGACTAAGGAATCTATGGCGGTGAAAGCAACTTCTGTAAAGGTCACCACCAAGAGTAAACTAAAAGAGGAGGAAGCCCCAAGTCAATATCCAAGGGAGGAGAGGTGACGCCCAACCTTGAAGGAGTTAGAGGCAAAGGTCTACCCATTTCCAGATTCAGATGTACCTATGATTCTTGATGAATTGCTAGCTAAG